AAGGGAAGTGAGTCAGAGTTGGATCTTTTCTGATGTGGATGAGATGTTTTGATAAAGATATGTCTGTGGGTTGACTGGGACAGAGACCCACTCCAGTCTTGTTGGTCATGGGAAACAACAGATCAGTATATGTTATCAGACTCGGCCTTGGGCCAGTCCAGTTGAGATCAAGCAGGAAGTGATGTGCTGACGTCCTGGGAAGCTCTGAACTCTGAGTTCTTTTGAGTACAGTATAATATTTGTACCCGGAGGAATGAGGCTCAATGTGTTTACTGTTTTTCCTCACTGAGTTTCCAGGCTGCTTATGAATTGACTGATTGATAGATAGATGCTGGAGAAGAGGGAAAACAGACAGTGTAATTGCCCTGAAGAGGTTGCATTGTGTTTTTGCTGGATTAATGCTAAAGTCCCAACAGTATGCTGTCTTTGGGACGCATCAATGTAATTAGATGTTGAAAGACACATAGTTGCACTAACAAAGGCAACAAACTGAATGCAAACACTGGTCAGTGGGTAATAATGCCCCAGGATGGTGGCCCGTGTTTGCTGAAAGAAAGGAAAACACCACTGCTTTTAGTCGCCACTCAGCATAGCCCCATTTCAGATCAATTGCTATAGGATCAGAGCCAAAAGATTAATAGGCATCTGACAGATCTTGTTGGAAAATGTGTTTATTTTGTCAGGTTTCACGAGTGGTAGTTACTTCTCCATTCAAGCTGAATGATAGTATTCACCCTCCATATTTACTCATCCTGACAGCTAGCAAGATAAACATGTCAGTATATGATTGGCCAAATACTTTCCCATGGAATCTAGAGAGAAGCTGCCAGCAGCGCTTGCTTTGAAAAAGAAGGTCAGTGCTTTGGAAACAATACAGGGCCTGAAGCTGCGAAGCAAACATTTTAGGAGTGGAAGCCAAGAGTTTGGATTTAGCGGCACAATTCATCTCTGCCCATCATGACCTTCTCTTCCCATTGTGATATATTTCCCAAGCTGAGAGCCATGCCACAGCGATAGAATCTAAACCGGAAAGATGGGTGGCCCACATATGGCCCTTCAGGTGTTATAGGATATAGCTTCCATGATCCCTTCTCATCAGCCATGTTGGCAGGGGCTTCTGGGAGTTGACATCCATAGCATCTGGAAGGCCAAGGGTTCTCTGTATTAAAGACTAAGCACATGCTACTTCAACAGGAATATCCTGAGCCCTACAACTATGGCCATGTCCACATGGATGGGAAAATCTGGCCTACTATCTGGGCTTGCATATCCACAGAGAGAACAAGGAGTCCGCAAAATTGGCCCCGCAATAGGCTGATATTGGCAGCACTGTCTGCACACATTGTTGTCGAATGTGCACATGTGTGATCAATTTGTGTTGGTGCACTGTACTGATTGTATTGTTGTGTTAATGTGTGTTTGTGTGATAATTTGCATTTCTGCAAAAGGAACGGCACCAGAGGAACCTTACAAACTTGAAAGCAAATGTGCTGTGGTGAGCTGGAAGTGCCTAACTGGAAGAGTTCAGCAACTCGCCTGTCTGCCTGCCTGGCAACACTCCTCCCCTGTCCCTACAGTGTGCCAGAGTTTCCATCTGATCCAAAGTAAAGGGGGACTCTTTTACTCTGGAGAATTGTCCTGGAGCACAGACTGGAACCATATTCCTTTTGTTTTGGTCAGTGTGTCAATGGGAAAGGAACCAATAAATACATATCATGGTAGAATGGATTCAGTCAGGAAATTGTCAGTGCATGCCTAAAAATAAAGGTAAAGGAATTCCTTGTTGACAAGTTTGTCAAGTTGTGGCTGACTGTTGGGGGCAGTGCTCATCTCCATTACTAAGCCAAAGAGTCAGCGTTGTCAGAGACTACTCTGTGATCCTGTGGCCAGCATGACTGCACAGAACACTGTTTACCTTCTCACCAAAGTGGAACCAATTTATCCACCTGCATTTGCATGCTTTCAAACTGCTAGGTTGGCAGAAGCTGGGACTAGTGATGGGAGCTCACCCTATCATGCAGCACTTGGGCCTTGATCTGCCAACCTGCCAATTTTGCAATCAACAGAGTCAGTCTTTACCACTTGAGCCACTGCATCCTGAGTGTATGCCTGCCTGCATTTTATTTTAATTTTTATTTAATTTATATCCTACTTTTCTCTCATATGGAACCTAAAGCAGCTCTCACCATAAGTTAAAACAATACAATGAACAAACAATCTGTAATACTGTAGAAAAAAATCTTTAAAAAAAATATAAAGAGAAATATCCCCCTTTTCCAATTGAAATTGCCATTTAAAAGCCGCATGTCTTCACTGGCTGCTCATTCTTTTTAGGATTTTGTATAAGCTTCTTTTTTTAACATTTAAGGGTTTACATAATCTACCTCCCCTCTTATTTGTCAGCTCTTATTTCCTTTTACCATCCTGCTCATGATCTGGGCTCTAGGACCTCCAAATGTCTTACCCAGCCAAGGGTTTCATCTTCCTTATCTCGACTTCGCTCTTTTTCACTACATGCACAGTACTCTTGGAACTGCCTCCCATTAGCTATTTTATAGTATTTTATTTTATAAGTTGTTAATATTGCTGTTTAATTTTATATTTTATTATTTTAGATTGTATGCCTTTGGCAGGATTAATGTTTGACTTGATTATACTTGTAAAGAGCCATGTAAATTTATGGTGGTATATAAATAAAGGATGATAATAATAATGATAATAATGATAACAATAATAATCTCCTAAGAAAGTGAATTGTAGTGTAGCTGGCACCATTTCAGAAGGTAGGAAAAGAACAGGGAAAGTTAACAGTATGATAAGAAAAGCCCCAAAGTGACAATAGTAGTATCACATCCTGTGAATCTTGAAGCAGTTCAACATTTCCCCACCTTGTTTGCTTCCTCCTATTGAGCCCTTGAGGTGGCTGTAGTTTAAGAAACTGAGAAAGGGAGGAGGAATTGGAGAAGGTGTCCATGTGGATACCGTGGAGAGTCTACAGCAGCTGTTGAGAGGCTATAGCAGTAGCAGAACACAGTAATAAAAATAAATCAATAAAAACCCATTGCTTTTGCAAGACAATACTGTCATGCTACGATATCTCCCCCCACCCTGGGTAAAAAGCACCAGACCCTGAGATCTGGGAACTCTGGTAGCAATGGATACCCTCTTAGCATCTATTGAAGGCAAGTTCTTAGCCTTTATCTCTCTTGTCCTTTCAAACATATGTACTAAACTAAACCAGGGGATTTTGTCATTTTAAGGGCCCTTTCCCACTACAAAATTATAGCACTATTATTGCACTTCAAGTGACAGGGGTGTATCCTCTGAAATCTTGAGATTTCCAGTTTAATGAGGGACTAGAGTTGCTCTCTGCAGTGGCATCACTAACTATAGTGTCACCTGGTGAGGGAAAGGTGTGCATGCACTCCTCCTGTTCCCGTCTCTGGCCTTTCTCTCCTGAGAGGAAACCTGAGGATGGAGCAGCCAGGTAGGGCACACATGTAACCTCCTGCACTGAAGGTAGAGGAGGGCCCAACTGGGTATCACCCCTCTTCTGAGTGTCACCTGCTGAGGTCTGCACCCCCTGCACCTCTCCAATGATGCCACTGGCTCTCTGGCTAAGAATTCTAAATACTCCTCCCTAAACTGCAAATCCCAGGATTCCATAAAATGTTGCTAGGACTGTTAAAGTGGAATAATAGTACTATAATCGTACAGTGTAAAGAGCTGCACGTGCAAACTATGACCTTGTATAAAGAGCGTCAAAAGTCAGTTTTCTCTCTCTGTTCTGGAAGCATCCTGTTCAGATGATGCAGAGCCCAAACCTTGGTTCAGGTGCGAACAGTCTGGAGGATTATTACATTGGTATTTTGTGGTTGGGAGGGATGTGAATAGACTGGACAATTACCCTTTCTCCTGGTTTCACTAATGGAAGCAATGCCATCAGTAGAACAACGCTGTTGGACGCTATTTCTAGCTCATCATAACAAGATTTTGTCCTTTTGAAAGAGAAAGCTGGTTTATTATTGGATCCACAGTTTCAAAACTGCAGGACACAAAATCTCACCTTGGGGAGATAAGTATGTTGATTCTTACTTTCCTGCAATCTTGACAGAGAATGATTCCTGAAAACACATTTGAGAAAACAATCACAGAAGGTGACAGTTAATTTTAAAGGTGCAGCATGAGCTTCATCTCTTAAGTGCAAATACTGACAATTTCCTGTTGTCAGGTTCTGATGGGATCCGATTTCAGTGACACGATACAATTAAAACCATTTATCACATCTAGACCTGGGAGTTGACATGTGCAAAGGTGGATGAGTGATTGCAAGTTATTGTAAAAATCATTGCATACTGCTTCAAACTTTTCAACGTTAATTTCAGACTCTGCAAAAAAAGATGCCACTGATATTAACTTTGGTTAGAAGTGAAATAAAAAGTGAGATGTCTCTGATAAGAATAGAGTATAGCAGCAAAATCTCAAAGTGCCTGTAATTACTAAGGACTTTGAAAGTGATGTTTTTTAAACTAGTTAAAGAAAAAGCAAATTTTCTTGGTTGTAGATCTGTCCAAATTTCTGGCTGTTGAGTAAGGCTGTGGAATATTAACACAGTTTAAGAAATAAAGCATAGGGTTACCAGACCACAACTATCCCAGGCTGAGATTTCAATGCCAAACCTGTGCCTTCAAGTTGCCTGTTGATTTATGGCAACCCCATGAATTTCATAGGATTTTCTTAGGCAAGGAACATTACCTGTCATCATATTATTTCCCAAAAATAATGTCATTATTCTCCATCATCCTTCCAAGTAATGAGATGTTGGGGGGGGGGGGCAGGATACTACTTACAAAAGATGACAATACTTGTCATGCAGTACTTCCAGGCCCTCTGAACTGCCTGCAAATACTACTGTAAGTTGATAGATAACGTGAAAAAAAACCTGCACACAATACCACTTTTCATGTCTAAAACCAAAAGGGTTTCACATTAGTTTACCAAGCATGGCACAGTGGTTTGAGTGCTGGACTACAACTCTGGAGACCAGGATTCAATTCCCTGATAGGCCATGTAAACCTACTGGGTGACCTTAGGCAAGTCACATTCTCTCAGCCTCAGAGGATGGTAATGACAACCCCACTCTGAACAAATCTTGCCAAGAAAGCCCCATGATCGGTTTGCCATAGAGTTGCCCTAAGTTGGAAATGACTTGAAGGCATGCAACAACAAAAATCAAAAGCATAAAACAATTTTTAAAAAAACTTATCAGGTTTCCAGAGGTTGAAAGATGAAAAAAGTCTTGGGGCAATTTAAATCCTTAACATGTATTTATGGCATGTGCATTCATGCACTAGAGCTGGTTTCATAAGATGCATGAAAGGTCAGCCCCTGTTGTCAGGTATATGTACACATGAGTGTACCTTCTGATTGAGAACACAAAGATCGTAATGGACTCTGGTCTGTGTTGGTCTTTCAGGTGTCATGAGCCCTTTCCTTGTTTTCCCGAAACAGATTAACATACCTCTGCCTCCAAAGGCTGTTTACAAACTGAATGTTCTTTCCTGCACTGTGATAGCATGACCAATTCATAAAACACACACAGAGAGAGCAAATATTGCTTTTCATGTGGCAATGCCATTGTATCTTACAATCCTCCCCCTTTGCACATAGCTTTATGTTTTTAAAGCTCTCCGAAGGAAGTGTGTCTCCTCATTGCTAAGCACACATTCCCCATGCCTTTGTGTATAAATCTTGTTTTGTTAATGTAAAGCGTATCGCTGTTTCTTGCAGAAAGCTGCCCCTCATTGTGGCAGGGGCACGGAAACTTCATTGTACTTACAAGTGTATAATGGAAAGCATTTGAGCACTGTAGTCGTTTCATGCCCTTTGCTTTTGTGTATCTTGTACACAATGTAAGCTACCTGGAGCTGGATGTGGGTGTTTAGAGCATAACAGGGTAGCAACAAGGGGGGAAAATGCATAGAAAATACTGAACTAGAGGACAACTCTCCAAGGTTTCTGTTCTGGACAACTGTTGTTTTTTCTCCCTTACGACCAAGGGAGGTCTATTCCTGCCAAGGTTGTACTAGCTTTGTTGGTACACAGTTATATGCTTGTGGAAAAATAAAAGTGAGAGACTTAGGGGGGTTGCAGACTGACAGAAATAGTGCAAATTCAGTCCACTTTTAGGGTTAGGGTTAGAGATAGGGAATCATGGAAACTATAATTTATTGTGGCACCAGAGTCCTCTGATAGAGAAGGCTCAATGTCTCAGAAAAAAACCAATTTCCATGACTCCCTAGCACTAACCCTAACCCTAAAAGTAGACTCAATTTGCACTATTTCTGGCAGTCTGCAACCCCCCTTAGATCCCATTGTTTTAGTAGACCTATTATTGAATCAATAGAGAGCCAGCATGATGTAATGGTTTGAGCATTAGACTAGGAATCCCCATTCTGCCATGAAAACTCATTGGGTGACCTTGGGCATGTATATCCTCCAGCAGTTCATGGATGAAAATGGGGTCATATGTAGTCAACAACATCAGAGTGTGGTCAAAGTTGCAAAAGGTATTAATGAGGAAGAACACACAAGCCAGGAGAAGCTGCAGCAGTTTGCTTTTGCTTGACCCTACTGGAAAGGGCAAGAATCTGCTCTTTGTTCCTTTCCCCTCTGTTGAGTTAACTGAATGCAAACTACCTTTGCATTTTGAATTCAGTTTGATGGTTTATTACTTTTAAACTTGTGCATACTGTGAATTTTTATCTTTTTTTTTACTTCTTGTAATTTGCCTTGACTCCCAAACTGAGGGTGATCAAATATATAAATAAATTTGATGATGATGAGCATCAACATCAGGCAACATCTTGAGATGCATCTCTTTAACAAGGGAAATTCTTAATTGCTTCAGAAATTTCCTAAAGAGCTATTCAAGATTTTCTCTCTTCCTGTTCCATTTATTGGTTTGGTCATGACTCTTTTGAGTCTTAGCTATTACAGTGGGTCTCCTCTGAGCATTACCTAAGTTTGTATCCAAACTATTGTCAAGGAAAAATGTAAGGCAAGATCTAATTTTTGCCCAAACTTCCAAGAGATACACATTGCACTACAGTCCCCAGAATTCCCTATGGCTAGGGAATTCTGGAAATTGTGTGTGTGTGTTTTCACGTTACCTGTCAACTTACAGTGATCCTATGAATTTCACGAGTTTTCTTAGGCAAGAAATACTCAGAGATTGTTTTGCCAGTTCCTTCTTCTGAAATATAGCCTGCAACATTTGGTATTCATTGGAAGTATCCCTTCTAAGTACAAACCAGGGCTGACCCTGCTTAGCTTCCAAGATCAGACAGGTTCTGGTGTCTTTAAGGCATCTAGATTGTAGTACAATATATTGTCCCCATGCTCTCTGGCTTTGGCTTCAGAAATCATTTTGCTAAATAAATGAGAAAGGCAAAAGGAAGGAAGACTTAAGAAAACAAGTCCATGCACCAAAGCCCTGAATTAACATCATAATACTTCAATAAAACTGAAGACTTAAAGACCTGCCATTTCCTTTATTGCTGTTATTAGAGGCTTGGATGTCCATGAACATTTTAGAATGTTTTAAATAATAAAATATTTTCTGATCAACACTGCAGAACTGAATAAATTGAGACAAACAATCAAATCTGGGGCAAGCTGTACTCTGCAATTTGTGAGGGGCAGGATGCCATAATTTAATTTAAAAAGGATCTATGTGAATGAGGGTGAAATAAGATTCAGAAATGTTAAAAGGAGCCTGGCTAGACTGATGTGCTAAGGCTTGAGAGATTAAGGTTTTAGTCGCCACTGAGCCATGACACATCCCCTTACGGCCTACCTCATGGGGTTGTTGTGAGAATAAAGTGGGATGAAGTGAATCATTTAAGAGCCAGTGTGGTTTAGCAGTTTGAGTGTTGGACTATGACTTTGGAGGCCAGGGTTGAAATCCCCGCTGGGCCATGGAACCCCACTGGGTAACCTTGGGAGAGTCACACTCTCTCAGACTCAGAGGATGGCAATGGCAAATCCCCTCTGAAGAAACATGCCAAGAAAACCTCGTGATAGGTTTGTCTTAGGGTCACCATAAGCCAGAGACATTGTGAAGGCACAACTTCAAAAAAGAAAAAGAAACAAAAAGAAAAAAAAGTCAGCACCCACCACCGTTACAATATCCCAAATAACAGAGCAACAATAACAGGTGAATAATTTAAGCTTTGCAACTGGGAACCATTCTGTTTATCCATATTCAGTTCTGACAACAGCCTCTTGTCCCGAGTAAAGGTTACACATCAGGACAATCAAATGTAGTGGCACTCCCATTTCTTTGAGCACATTCCATGCATTATGCATCTGAGGAAGTAGGCTCATGTCTATGAAAGTTCATGCTACCAACTTCTATCTTTCAGTTAGTCTGAAAGGTGCTGCAAGATCTCTCTGCATTCTCATAGTTAAGGAAAGCATAATTAAGGAGACGCTTACCTTGCATTACAAATTTTATCCCATGAGTGATTTTAAAGTAAAATGATCAAAGAAAGAAAACAAAAGGAATTCAAGCCCACAAAAAGCCTTTCCTATTCTGGTTGGGAATGATAGGGATTATAGCCCAACATTTGGAAGACACCAGTTTACATAGAGGCCTATATAGTATTTAACCAGTTCAAGCACTTTTACCAGCTTTACATGTTCCCGATTTAACCACAATACTTCACATCTTAGTAACACCCAGACACTGGAATACTACAATGTGCTTTACATTCACTTGCCTTTGATGGGTGTTTTTATTTTAATAATTTTGTTAGCCACCTTGTAGATTTTCAGACTGAAAGGTAGACTGTAAATAGTTTCAGGAACACATATAAATAAATTTTACTCCATCAAGTCATATAAACTAATGATAAAAAAGTTTTTAAAAAATAATTAAATAAGCCACTGTTATTAAAACATCAGTATTTTAAACAGTGTGAAATCATTTTAAAACATGACATTAATAGTAAAAGTGCAGCACAAGCTGCCTATTAAAAGATCTTCTTGTATAACCAGTTAATCACCAAATGCCTATTCAAACAAAAAGATTGCTACCTGTCAACAGAAAAAGAGCAGAGAGGAGTCCAGCTTAGGGGAGATGCAGACAGGTGGCCCTGGGCCGCCCCGGGAAATGGAGGATCAAGGCTGAAGCAGCCGGATGCGTCGGCCCCGATCCTCCCTTTTGCCACCTTGGAAAGGAGCGGCATTTCAGAGGCAGCAAATAGGCAGCCCTAAGAGTCGGCGCACAGCTCTTTGGCACCTCTTCTGGTGCAGCGCGTCAAAACACTGCGCCAGAAGGATGTCCTGACACTGTGCGCCATGCATAACGGCATGTGGCGTCAGGACGTTCTCGGCATGGGGTTGAGGCGGCCGGCGTGTGGCTGCCCCTCCCCATCTCTGCCTCCAGGCCGGCCCTTTGGGCCAGTCTGTAGGGGCCCTAGTCTCCCATGGGAGAGAATTGTACAGCCTGAGAGCAGCTACTGAGAAGGCCCTCTCCTGAGTCCTCACCAAATATACCTATGATAGTGGTGAGACTAAGGACGTTATCACACGGGGGAAATCTGCTGGTTAACCCACACAAATTCCAAACAGAAACTGGATTTGTGCCTCACGATTTCACA